AGATCAATAGTGAAATACTGGGAATGTTATTCTAACCGTTTGCTTGACCTGCCATAAAAGGCTTTGCTATGTAGAATAACTATGATGCTGTATGCTTCTCCTGAATAAAGAAATCTCTGATGGAACTTTTGGTCTCCAGAGGATTTACTGAATTTTGGGATTGAGTGTGCAGACTCTGACATTGAGAACTATGGGAAAACTACACACACTGCTCAAAATTTAACCTGAAGAGAGGATGGATTTCTCTCCCAGGATGAAGGACTGGTGGGCTTCAGCCAAAAGGAGGCCCAAAGGCACAGAGAGCAACTTAATACGTACTAGATCATGAACTATGCACCAACAGAATTGAAAAGATACGTAGAGCGTTTGCTGCATATATGGAAGGAGGTCTTCTGATTTTAAAGCACGTCAGGTAGAGCCAAATGGTTTGGATTATACGCAAGGAATTTTGTCAGGTCTGAAGAAGACAGAACACCAGTGTTACTTGGTACCTGTCATTTGCTCAGAAAGACAAGAAGCAACTTGCAGCGATTTATGGAACTGCTTTTACTGAGATACTTATAGCCTCTCATCCTTTATAACCACTAATGATCACAAGTGCTCCTGTGCATCCGTCAGAAAATCTCTCTCCAGGGATGCAGGACTATGGAGAAGAGCTTTCAAAAACCCAAGTGAAGCCACGGGTCATAGGTGAGAGTTCGTGGCAATGTAGAAATTCTTATACTTGCAAAATGAAAGCATTTTCATTTGAATAAACTCTGCAAAATAACCACTGGAGTGGAAATGGACTCAGAACTATGGGAGCAAGTAGAACAAGTAGAAATAGTGCTCCGGACTTTCAACAAACATTATTTAAGCAGCCAACTGGCCTGCTTCCTCCTTAGCTCCTGCTCCAATGGGCAGATGCTGACTATGCTTCCTTAAAACAATTCTTTCTCAGGAAAACTTTCCTGGCCTTACTTACTTTTCGAGGAAGAATTTTCTGGGCTGCTCCATACTTAACAGCATCAGATCTAGAAGTTTTCACAAGAGATAAAGCAAAAAGGACGTGGGGAAGGCCAGCAAGAGGTGACTGGAAACACCTCACCCTGGGCCTAGAGAACTTTAACTAAAGAGCAGTGCGCAAATATTTTTAATGAATAGATAAGCAGAGCGTGGAGAAGTGGACCAATCTAAAAAGGAAAGCTACTTCTTCCACTGCGTGACAGTTAGTAGCAACTGCAACTACTAACTGTGATTAGTAATTCAACCACTATGCCCAGTTGAACAAATGAACTTACACAATAAGTGCATCTCAGGTAGAAGGAAGAGTCTGAAGTCCCAGGACACCCCCCACCCCCCACTAAAAACAAGAAGGGTTCTGGTAACAAGGGAAACCCATTTTCAAATCACAGCCTCAGGAAGGTGTGTTCCTGCGCTGCAGCTCCTGTCCTGCTTGCAGAGAATCCAGATGTGTTCATTCATCACTCAAGACCATTCAGGTATAAGACGGCCACCTTCACATGTATACTTCAATCATCACTGACCAGAGTTTTCATGTCATTTTGTTAATTTTGGCTATTTATCCTGACATCCGACGTCATATTTCTGATGTTTTTATGCTTGGGCCAGCATCCGCACTAAATGACTAATGTCAAATCATCAGTCCTTCGTGTCAAAACCCCAATGAGCTTCTGCAGTCTGTGCTGCTCCGTCTTTGGACTCACAGCTACCACAGCGCCGCTGCGTTTTCTTTGGAAGGCGTTCACTTTTCCCGAGCCGCAGCTTCCGCTTCTCAGAACGTTTCACTCCAAGGAAAAGATTTCTGGTTTCGCTGAGGGCGCAGCCCTGCGTAACCCGGGGGGGGGGGGGGGGGCGGGAGGAGGGTCTGTCCTGCGCCTT